TTGCTTCTCTCTTTGGTTAGTTTCCATCCATTGCTTCTTGTCCTGCCTTTAGGCGCTTTGGAAAGTATCTTGACTCCCTCTTTTTTGTGGCAGCCCTGACACATTTGACACATTGAGTCAAATAGTCACTGATTTGAAAACAGGTTTGATAAAGCTTCATTCAACTAGAGAAATATAATCCATTAAAACCATGGGGTTTTTCTTTTCTTTCTCATTTACATTTCAATATATGAAGGAAGTCTAATAAGTATTTTGCACAATACCAGATATATTTAGCCTTTAGCAAATAAAGAGGAAAAATATTTCTTAATCTGGTTATCTTCATGGGTTGACAAAAAGGATAAAAGTAAATATGTCAATCTAATGAATTCATATTTGAATGATCAGACAAAATACTGTTGAAACAATACCTGGTTAAATGATCTATGCCAAACAATCGTATCCTCATTAATGATTAATTCTTTTCCTTTTAAAGCATCAGGATCCACTTTTCCAATCTTGTGTCTCTGGAAAGTGGAATTGGGAAAGACAACAATGTTTATGATATCAAATCCACCTTCCATCTTCTTTTGATCATAAAAAGTCAACGTTTCTCCAAGAGAATTGTTGAATTTCATGCCTTTCATAAATTGGTGGAGCTATATGATTGGGAATAATAAAACAGGTAAATAAAACAGAAATGTATGAGCAATTTTTATCAAAGTAGTACTGATACTTTTGAGTGAGAAACTCTGAAAACATGCAAAGTTCATTTCTCCGGCCTCCTGAGATTCTGTTTGCTATCATCTGCATATGGGGATAACAAGAAGGATCTGATATTTCAGTTTGAATAATAATCAAATGAAATGTAAAGTGTACTTAACAACAACAACAACAACAACAACAACAACAATAATAATAATAATAATAATAATAATAATAATAATAATAATAATAATAATAATAATAATAATAATAAAGTTGGAAGGGACCTTGGAGGTCATCTAGTCCAACCCCCTGCTCAGGCTGGAAACCCTATACCATTTCAGACAAATGGCTGTCCAGTCTCTTCTTAAAAACTTCCAGTGTTGGAGCATTCACCACTTCTGGAGGCAGGTTGTTCCACTGGTTAATTGTTCTGTCACAAAGTTTATCCTTAGTTCTAGGTTGCTTCTCTCTTTGATTAGTTTCCATCCATTGCTTCTTGCCCTGCATTCAGGCGCCTTGGAAAATAGCTTGACTCCCTCTTCTTTGTGGCAGCCCCTGAGATATTGTATATTCTAACCTTCCATATCTTTTAGAACCCAGTCCTTCATGTTGACTAGGAAGAGACATATGAAAAACTAGAGAAACACGTTCCAGATTTGTTTTTGACATCCCACCCATTTTTCATTGCATAACATTTTCACAGTTATACAGTTCCTAAGGAAATGGTAAGGCTGAAAGACAGTTGGCTCAACTAAGCAGCATTCCTCAAGTATTTTCAGAAAAAGGTAAAATTACTAAAAATCCATAAAGATTTGAAAACCAGGATTTGGATGTTAGTTCACTTAAACCTTAGTTCTTTCATCAGAAGATGACTGAAGATGATCAGGTAATAAACCATATTACAATGATGGAAATGAAGGTATACTATTATAGTTATCTATGGATTAATGTTCAAATTCATCTTATAGTTTTTTCTTCCCTTTTTGCGTCATGCACTCTAAGTTTACTTTACTAGGCTCAGGGGCTAAAATAGAAAACATATTACTTTGAACCTAAGCCCAAGAATCATGACACTAAACTAGCAATTATAGCCAACACCCCAGAAAACAAGCTCAGGATTCAAAACGATCTTGAGAAACTGGAACAATGGGCCCTATCCAGCAAAATGAATTTTAATGTGGAGAAAAGATTTCATTGAGGCAGGAAAAATCAAAGGTATAAGTGCAGAATAGGTGAGACCTGGCTCAAAAACAGTAACTATAAGAGGGACCTTGGAGTCCTAGTGGATGATCACATGACTATGAGCCAGCAATGTGCAGCAACAGCCTAAAAAGCTAATACTGTCCTGGGTTGTATAACATGATGACATGACATAAACTATTAATACCGCTTTATAAAAACCTAGTAGGACCACACCTGGAATACTACAACCAATTTTGGTCACCATACTACAAAATATATGTTGTGATTTTGGAAAAAAATCAGAGAAGTGCAACTAAATTGATCAAAGGCCTGAAAACTAAAACATGAAGAACAGTTGCAGGACTTGGGTTTGGCTAGTCTAAAGAAAAAAGAAACAGGGGTTACATGATAGAAGTACTCCAGTATTTAAGAGGCTGCCACAAAGAAGACTGGGTAAAATTATTATCCAAAGCACAAGAGGGCAGGACAAGAAACAGTGGTTGGAAACTGATCAAAGAAAGAAGCAACCTGGATTTAAGGAGGAACTTCCTAAAAGTGAGGACAATTAACCAGTGGAACAGCTTGCCTCTAAAAATCGCAGGCACTCCCTCACTGGAGATTTTTAAGAAGAGACAGGTCAGTCACTTGTTTGAAATGGTATGGGTTCTCTTGCTTGAGCAGGGGGCAGGACAAGAAGACCTTCAAGGTCCCTTCCAGATTCTATTCTATTCTATTCTATTCTATTCTATTCTATTCTATTCTATTCTATTCTATTCTATTCTATTCTATTCTTGTAGAAAAATTAGCCAGAATTCAAGTTTTTTATTTGCTTACACACTGTAGGTAAAATCTTCCCATACTAAATGCTCTGAGAGATAAATCCTGAGAAATTCTAAGATGTGGCTATTCTAACTCTCTTCCTCTCAGAATTTGAGGCTGTAGTGCCCCTTCTCTCCCCACAAATCATTCCTGAAATGTGCTTCCTCCTTCCATGAAAATTGCCATTTCACTATAGTCCATCACATCAGCTCCCCTCTTCATGCACCATTTTCCACAATTACAGGGATGAAAAAAAAGGTATGGCAATAAATATCATCAATAGACAAATGTTCAAATCCATTTTAGTAGCTGCCACTTCCCTTTTGAAATTATACACCTAAGGTTTGTACTTTGCTATTATCTAGTACAAAATACTTGTAGTACACAAATCACCTGCCATGGTTGTGAATCTTCATATTCTGATAATTTGTGCCTCAAAAAATGCCCGTGAGTAGATCTAAGTAAGAAGAGAGCATGTAAAGCTTGAGCCAATACAGAGGCAGCGTTATAGATACTATAGCTGTGCCCAGACATCTCTATCTCAAAAAGAACCCCAGGAATATCCTCTAGCTTCTCTTCTCCAGTACAAAAGGGATTGTCCAGTTTGGTCAAAGAAGGGGATGGTAATGAACAATCAAATACGTGTTCCCAGAAAAGTGGAAAAAATCCATCTCCTTGAATCCATGGAGGTTTTATGAACTGCAGGAATTCCTTGAACCCTGGAATTTCTTTTGAGTGAACTTTAAAGCAAATGGCACCATCGAAGAACCGCCGATCCCATTTTTTATTCATTCCTGTTAATAAATAATCCATCTGGGCAGTCATGATCCATACCTTTCCTAAGGAACTATGCTCATGTATAGGGCCAAGCCAAAAAATTATATCCGTTAACCATGCAATTGTCAAAGATTCTCCACAGATGATGAAGATGTTGGTCTTCTCATCAATTATGTTTTTATAAATATTTCTCCCTTTTTGGACCATTTCAAAAATCTTGTCCCAGTAGGTTAAAAATGGGATTCTTTCTGTAGAAGCAGAGCAGATTCCATGCTGGGAAAAGAGGGACTCCATGCTCTGCAGAAAATGGTCTCCTTGACTGTTATCAATAGCAAGGAGCCCAACCCATCTCCACTCAAAATGTTGAAGCAGTCGGATAATCCCAATGTACTGTGAGGACTCATTTGGAACCATGGAGTAATAGAATGGAATCTCAGTGCTGTGAACATCTTGTGGGGTAAATGACCCATATGTGAGCTAAAAGAAACACATATTATGCAAATAGATAATCATCAGTATTTTTTTTCTTCATATTTTCCAACAAATTTGGTCAGATTGTTGAGTAATGTGGCCAGAGAATAAGGATGTTTTAATAAGCCTAGTTTGGAAAAAAGAAAATAGGGGGGAATTTTCAAGCCTCTCTTCCCAAAGATCCTACCTGTGGAATCTTGTAAAACTTTACCACATCTGTGATATAGGAGGAAGTTCCAAGGCTGAGCCCTCCTATGATAGAAATGAGATTTCTCCTGGTATCACATTTATAGTTGGGGACAAATCTCTCTGATCTGAAGAGCAGGTCCAGGGTGGTCCGATACGTCATTATTGCATTGTAATAGCTATCATGAATATAGAAGCCAAGAGTGACATTGTACAAGATTTCTGAATTCTCATTGATCTCCTTCACAGCAAAGACCAAGGAAATGATATGTTGGTAAAACTTTGTCAGCACGCTGAAAACAGGATGAATTTACATGTATCATTAAATATTTCCTTATTATTTTCCTGGCACCACAGAGAGGTCCTTTACCTTATACACATGCACAATTGGGAAATGACCAATTGAACTCTATTTCCAATTCAACTACACTAAACTATTTCCATTGTTGCAGATTGAATCAAAGTAAATAATCTACCTTTTCCATCGTTCATTGCAATTCCTCTAACTAGAGATGACACAAAGGTGAATGATAGAAATTGGTATCCTAATTTAAGGTTTTTCCAATATAAATATTGTTGCATTAAAAACAAGCAATGCTTTTATAAAATTCTTATAAAGTATCTTTTATTAGAAAGTATTCTCATTAATAAATGAAGCAATCTAGAGATACCACAAAGATAAAAGATAAGAATTCCTTACTCTGGATGGCCAAAATACTCCTGAGAGGGATGCTGCTGAAATGAAACTTCATTAAATTGATAGCTAGCCATAGATACCATCCCACCAATGACATAGTCCCCTTGCTGGTACCATTCATATGGAACAGGTATGGGTTCACCTAGATGACACGGCAGAGTTTTCATTCTGAAGAGTGGAAATAGGAGAAAAAAGAACATTCTGGGCAACATCTTGTCTCTAAGAATAGATGTTCCACCAGGAGCAGCTTTCCATGTTAAACTGCATTCACCAGCGTCAAAATTCCATTTAAGAGCAAGTCTGAGGACTAACCTTTAGCCCTGATTCTTCTTGCAAACAGTGATAATATTATAAATGATCTGAATGACAATGTAGAGTTCCAGCAAATAGAACTTAATTTGTGGCAGTTGGAATCATAGGACTTGTGTGTTCTTGTTTTCTACTCTCCAGTCTCTATGGGGCAGTCATTTAAAAAAAAATATTTTCTATAATGTTTTCTTGAACTGTTTACAGTTTTGATGAAGGGAGAAAATTATTATCATTGTAATACTTTCAATGGGATGATAATTATGTCTTCAACTTTTTGTCTCCCATTATTAACAATGTGTGTTTGTGTGTGTGTGTGCGCGCGCGCGCATGTGTGTAGCTGAATTTAGTATTTCCTAATTTATTTTCTCTTTGTGATGTAATAATTGGAAAAGTTCAGACGTAAACTTAAATTCATCTCAAAGCTACACTTTGAATAATAATACTTTGGTTATTTTCCACTTTTAACCCAAATGAAAGATTATTAACATCACTTCCAAGGATATTTTCAGAATAGTACATTGCTCCATTTGTAATCTGTTGGCCTGGTTACATTCTCATATGAATAACACAACATATTGATTAGGTTAATCTGCAGAACCTGATTGAAATCTATCTAGAAGGGATCTGTAATCAGGGCAAGGAAATTGTTCTGAGTAGAGTTGATACTTGGTACTTGTTTTTAGGAATCCTATCATGAATCCCCATATGGAGAGGACCTCTATCTCTGTCTCTACCAACCATAACGGACTATGAAGAAAGGTGGAAAACCAGCATAACATCATGCCATCCACCCCCAATACTCTGAGTTGATCCTGAAGGACATCATGATCAATGGTACTGAAAGCCTCCAATAGGTCAAGTAGGACAAGAATGGAGAGAAGAGAAGAGCAACAAAGATGATTAGGGGGCTGGAGGCTAAACCATACAAGGAACGGTTGCAGGAATTGGGTCTGTATAGTTTAATGAAGTAAAGGATGAGGGGGGACATGATAGCAATGTTACAATATCTCAGGGATTTCCACAAAGAAGAGGAAGTCAAGCTATTCTCCAAAGCACCTGAAAGTGGGACAAGAAGCAACGGATGGAAACTAACCAAAGAGAGAAGCAACCTAGAACTAAGGAGAAACTTCCTGATAGTTAGAACAATTAATCAGTGGAACAACCTGCCTCCAGAAGCTGTGAATGCTCCAACACTGGAAGTTTTTAGGAAGAGATTGGACAGCCATTTGTCTGAAATGGTATAGGGTTTCCTGCCTGAGCAGGGAGTTGGACTAGATGATCTTCAAGGTCACTTCCAACTTTATTATTGCTATTGCTATTACTATTATTGTGTTGTTGTTGTTGTTGTTGTTGTTGTTGTTGTTGTTATTATTATTATTATTATTATTATTATTATTATTATTATTATTATTATTATTGAAAAATGCAATCAATACTGTTTCTCTCCATACTTTGCCCTCAATCCAGACTGAAAATGATCCAGGTAATATGCTTCATCCAAGGCCTTTTGAACCACTGGTGCAAGCAATGCTCAAACCTTTTTCTCCTTTAAAGAAGAAATGTTTTCTACCTAATACAGACCATGAAAGTTTTTACAATTGTAACATCTATTGAGATCCCATTTTTTACAGGCATTTTCTATGATAAAAGTTTTAATATTATCAAGTACTTATGTCATGGTTCCATCTCATGAAACTCTTCAAAAGAATGTCAAGGCATTGTTTTCCTTAAAGAATCTTTTATTTGAGAAACAAATTATTGGCACTACATAGTTAAAACCAAAAACTGAATTCCCCTCCCCTGGCCACAAAGTAACAAAACACAATTCCCTCCTCCAATTAACAGTCATAAATCACATTACCCAATTAGCTTGAAACGTGGGCTTTTTCCCCAGGTCTACAGCCCGCCAAATCTTTATCAACCCTTTGCGCAATAATCTTGGATTCCCACGGCTGAGTTATTATGGCTATGACTCGCTGGACTCTCATCCACATTTCCCCCACCAGCATCAACTAACTCTAAAGCAAAAGAGGAAAATGTCTGAATTTCCATCTGTTGTCAAAGCAAGAACATCCGATATTAGCAGCATTGACAACTAAATTCACATACCTATATGAATGACCCTGTAATCCCTTCATTCGGGGTGGAGTCAGGATGACTGAATGGATGTTCTGAATACTACAGAATATTCTCATAGGGTGAGAATGGTTCCATCTCAGAGATAAAAAGGAATCTGATTTTCTTTTTTTAATAAGGGAGATTTCTGTTATGCAAATTTTATCTATAATAAATCCATATAATACTTCCATAGTTTCCATACCTGACTATTGGATTTGGTGAATTGTGATTCAATCAGATATTAAAAGAGACTACTGGAAACTACTAAGGAAAGGAAGAAATGGAAAGCATGTATCCTTGTAAAAAGGAAGCGGAAAAACTAAAATAAAATTCTTAATAGATCCACATATATGTCTTTATTCCATATCTTGTCCTGTCTCAAAAAAAAAATTGTCAAGTTAGATGGGGTAAAATCCTTGGAATAATTATTCACGATGATAAATATATTAATTTTATTAAATTGTGTGCTTTCTTAAAATAACTAATAACATAATAAATAAAAAGAACAAACTTAGAGCAAAAATTGTGTTCTTATCCACTTTCTTCATTATAAAAGTAATGTGTTTATTGACCAACTGAAACTAGAATTCACACATTTGAATTTTCCCTTTTAAAAAAGAAAATAGCTAATAAAAATCAGGTTTTGTCTGGTTTACCTCAAAACATATAAGTATTCCCCACTATGTTCTGTGAGCCTTCTTTGAAAGTTGTGGGGAAAAACATAACTTGACAGAATTTTTCATAAATTCAGGTTTCAGAGCTACATGTAAATCACAATGCTAAACAATCTCTTCACACCTATAAGAATATATTTAAAAGATTGGATTTTGACATTTCTCCTCTCAACTTAAAAACATAATCAAAAAGGTTTTTAAACATGTCTTCTTATCAGTTGATCTCTATTGTTTAAATCAGGTCTAAATACAATAATGTAACATTTGGGGGAAAAGATGCATGCTAGAAGCCCGGCACTAGAGGACAAAATGGAGAATATCTCCACAGCTACCATAACTTTTCCTCTGGTGCTCAGATAGGTTGGAACAAAGGAGACCCACACACTGCAGAAAGCCAACATGCTGAAGGTGATGAACTTGGCTTCATTAAAGCTGTCAGGCAGGTTACGAGCCTGGAATGCCACAATAAAGCTGGCAAGCGAAAGGAGAGCCATATAGCTCAGAACACAATAAAACATAAAGACTGAGCCTTCATTGCATTGTAAAACCATTTCTTCAGTTGTTGAGTGCATGTCTAATTCTGGGAATGGGGGAGAGGTGGATAACCAAACAATACAGATGCTTGCTTGGAGTAGAGAGCAGAGCAGGACAATAGAAACAGCCAGTCTTTTTCCCACCCATGTCCTTATCTGAGATCCTGGCTTGGTGGCCTTGAAGGCAAGAGAAACAAGCGTGGTTTTGGCCAACACACAAGAGATGGACAATGAGAAGGTGAGACCAAATGCAGACTGTCTGAGGAGACAGGTGACTCTCCCAGGTTGTCCAATAAAGAGCAAAGAAGAGAAGAAGCAAAAGAGAAGGGAGATGAGGAGAGTGTAGGTGAGATCCCGGTTGTTGGCTTTCACAATAGGACTGTCTTTGTGCTTAATAAATATTCCCAACACCCATATTGTAGTGAGGAAAAATAAAGTAGCAACAGTGGCTAAACCGACTCCTAAAGGTTCCTCATAAGATAAGAAGCTAATTGTTTTCATGATGCATCCATCTTTCTTATGGTTTGCATATTGATCATCAGGACATTGAAAGCAAGCAACAGTATCTAAAAGGAAAAAAATGGCAATGAAGATTCATAAGAATGATAATTATTAATTTTCATATTTATCCACACCCTGATGCTTATGTCCTTGGTACAAATGATGGAATCTACAATATGAAAATGCATTTGAACATCTCTCTATGTATATTTTGTGTATTGTGGTATTACATCAAATATTGCTTTGATTATACATAAGGAAATTTCACAAACTCCATCAAAATCCATTTTATCTTGATTTGCTTTTTTATCATAAAGAGGCTCCAATAAAGATTCATTGAATAGCTGAAGTGATCTTTTTCATATTTTAAACCATATTGACTTATTTAATATAGAACCATATAGATCACATTTCAAAATATGGCACATAAGTATAATAGTTTCACCAAATTGAAAGTGAAAGATGAAAGATAATGTTTCAAGGAGGAAATTGTAAAAAGGTTAGTAATTACCTATTTGAAGTATATATCCCTTTTTTATTTAATATCACTATTTTTGTTTTCTTTCTATGTTTCTTTTAAAATTTCATTTCTTTTGTTTAACCCCTAAAGAGAATATTGGAATCAGTCTGCATTACATATAAAATACTTAGATATTACATATCCAAGAGAGCTACACACTGTAGAGAAAATATGAATAAGTATTTCACAAAGAAGCAAAACTGCACAAATGGATGGATGGATGGATGGATGGATGGATGGATGGATGGATGGATGGATGGATGGATGGATAGATAGATAGATAGATAGATAGATAGATAGATAGATAGATAGATAGATAGATAGATAGATAGATAGATAGATAGATAGATAGATAGATAGAGTGACTGGTTGGAAAGGAAAAAGTTATTACGATTTAAAGTAGGGAGTGTTTTAATCATATTCCTCATTACATCTATAAGATTCTCATTATTGTTAAGAGATATGTTTCATTAGTTTTTCCACTCTTCCTAAGAAAAAAATACAAATTTCTTTAAATTTCAGAAATTCTTGTTTTCATTATTATATTTCAAGAGTGATCCTATTTAGTTGCTACAGATTTGAGAATTTTGGATTCCATAGTAAAATCAAAAGATATCAATTCTGAATTCCTTCCTTCCTTCCTTCCTTCCTTCCTTCCTTCCTTCCTTCATTCATTCATTCATTCATTCCTTCCTTCCTCTCCACCTTCACAGTCATTGTTTTATATGTAGCTTTTAAATTGCACAATCATGTTTTTGTGGTTTCTTATTTCTCATCTTTAAAAAAACATTGAAATAATTACTTTTTTCGGTGTGCATAAATTCTCTCCAGTGAAAATGTTCTGAATCTCTACTATGATGCTTGCTTGGTTATAAATCATTCCAGGATTTGTTTAATTAATTAATTGAAACATTGTTGTGATTGTGATCAACCCTTGTAATTCCATTGTAAAAACTTGTAATTTTTCATGTATTAATGGATTTGATTTCATTACCCTATTAATTATCAAAAATAAATCTTTATTCATGAAAAACCAAACAATTTAATTAGCAGAAAGTATTCAGCACACTAGACAGTATAACAACAAAATTGAGTAATTTGTTAACTTGCCACTCTCTTTAGATATTTTCTCCACTGGACATTCAACACAATCATAACAGCAGAATTTCTTTCCTTCATTCTTCCTCTTTTGATAACCAGGGAGACAATGTTCATTGCATAGAGAAATGGGAAGCACCTGTTTATCAATATTAAAATGTTGGAAGATGAGCATTTATTGTTTTGAAGAAAATTCTGTTGTTACACATTTCAGTTTGTTCTCTGATTTAATTTTGTGAGCACAACAGATCTGGATTTCCAATTTTTGTTATGTTGAAATTCTCATATCAATTTAAT